GACTGAGAAAGCAAACAACTGGAAAGAGCAGGAGAGAGAGACAAACACCTACACAATGAAGAAGTACATACAAACATAAGGAACCGCAAGGAAAGTAAATTGACAGACAAGCAGAGAACAAAATATTCTCATCTGTCAAGCTTTGTTAGTTTAACCATTTTTGGAGAATCACATGATAGAGTGTAAAATACAGTGACATATATTTATTCAGCAGCAGGTCAGAACGAGAGAAAGAAAGCAAAAGAGAGAATAAATAGCAGGACATGCAGTGCATACTATTTGTTCCCATGCTGCTCCCATCAGTCTTCCTTTAGCTGAGGAACACAGCAGAGTAAGATATACAATTATCTATCACCATTATTTCCTTTGGTCTGTCACATGTGACACATGCAGGAACCAATCACCATGTTTGACAGCAATCCACATACATGCACCATTTACACATGGAAATTTCCCTGATTGAAATAATAATAATAATCTTTGCATTTGATATTAACTCGTTGAGACACCTCAAAGTGCTTCACAGGCTGTACTATAAAATAGATTGACTACGTATTTTGTGGGCAAAATGCAGCAGCCAATTGTGCACAGCAATGTTCTATGAACAGCCACAAAATGAATGACAAATTGTACTTGGGGGATGTGTTCGCCAGGACATGGGGAGAAACCCCTTTCTCTTTTTGAATAGTGTCCTGAGATCTTTAACGTCCACCTGAACAAGCAGATGGGATCTCGGTTTAACTTTTCACCCAAAGGACGTCACTTTCTACAAGGCAACATTTCCCAAGCACTGCACTGGAGTATCATCTTAGACAATGTGATTCCAGTCCTGAAGTGGGGCTTGAACCCACAACCTTCTGACTTAGAGGAGAGAGTGCTACCACTGAGCCAGGCCAGCCAGACACTGGAATGAAATGTGTGCACTCTCCCTGGAGAGATGCACCCTGCTATTCTAATTCTGGAGAGTATGAGGTGCAGCTTGGAGAGAGACACATCTTGGGGACTGCTGGGGATATGCTGGAGTTCAACTACCTAAACCTGTACAGCTTTCCATCGAGAGCATTGTCTGGCCAGCTTCCTGCTGCTTGTCCAGCTAGGACCATCCAGCCTATTTGGGTTTTGGTTCACAGGGTTAACAGTAGCTGAATGGGAAGAATCCCTGCCCATGAGTTCAGACAGGCTGGGGTGTCTTCAATAGTGCCTGCAGATCTGTCTGGTTTAAGAATCAGATGACCAAGACAGCAACCTAGGCCTAATTTGCTTTTGACATTCTGTTGCCAAGGATGCCATCTTGCACACAATTCAGCTCCAAGGAGACCCCACTTACGTTCCCTCCCCCAAGGAAATAAGTAAGGGCTCAAACTTAAATGACCAATTAATGATAATCATCAATAAACACAATGAATTAAAGAGAGCTCTGTTCACATCATTACTATGTCTATATTAATATGTTCCCCTGCACCCCATCTTGTGTGCAAACCTTGGACTGTCCAGCACCTTGCAATAGTCTCCCAACATGACAGGCACTATATAATTGTAAATTTGTATTGTATTTATACTACTCAGCACACTTGACACATTTTCTTGGCTCCTGTCAATGTCTCCTCATGTGTGGCTACGGAACCTCCCCAGCCTATCCCTCAGACTCGCTGAATTTCTGTGTAACCTGGCATCAGGTTTGATCCCTAATTGTCCTTCCTACTTCACATCCAGTCCCTGATCAGGACCGCTTTCCTCCACCTTTGCCACATTCCCACCTCTGACTGTACCTCAAATCCAATGCAATCGAAACCCTTATCCATGTATTCATCACCTCCCACCTCAAATATTCCAGTGCCTTCCTCACTGATTTCCCCAGCACCACCATTAATTAAATCGAATTAATTAAAAACTCTGCTACCCATATCCTCACATGCACTTAATTCCATACCCTCTTCGCCCCAGTACTTGTCCAGTGCCTTGGGACGTCCTCCTGACATGAAAGGCGCTATACAAATGTAATTTTTTGTTGATGTTGTTCCACTGGCTCCCTATTGCAGAATGGATCGATTTTAAGATCTTCACACTAACCTACAAATTACTTCATGTTCTGGCACCGCCCTACCTCTCCAACCTGCTTACAATCTACTCCACTACCCGCCCACTTCACTTAGCTGCGTCCGACCTCCTGGACATCCCTCATCGCCTACACTCGATCAAAGGTCGTGCTTACAACCACTACGCTCCAAAACTAGGGAACTCTCTGCCTCAGTCTCTTTGCCTTGCCTCCTCCTTGCCAATCTGCAGATCACATCTGAAGAACTTCCTTTTTGACCAGGCCTACTGTCATCTCACCCCACTCCTTGGCTCAGATCAAGCACCAGCATTGTTAAACACTCCGAGGTGCTAACCCGTGTGAAAGGCGCTATATAATTGCAAGTTGTCATTGTTGCTGGTATTGATAACCAACCACATGATCCTGGGTATCAGAGCACAGTATCCAGTGATTCAATTAAAGTTTTCTATGATCAACGGATCCTTCAAGGTTCACTCCTTGATACTCACTCCTCCTTCACATTCTGAGTCTTGGTTTTAGTTTGAAACAATGTATTTTCTTTTATTTGTACTGAGGCATATGGAAGCACCCACCTCTCCCCACCAAACACACACACTTCTGTCTTTGCAGTGCATCCACTGCACATTTCAAGGTTCACCATAATTTCTAGCATGCATCATATTATTCTTCCCTGCGGAACTGGAGTGATGGTGGCAGAGAGTTTCCCTCCGTTTCTGAAACATAACCAGTCTATCAGATAAGTCAATAAGTATTCCTTGGCCACACTAACTATCAATACAGATTGTCCACAAGTTCATTGGAAGGCTCTGTGAGTAATATAATAATAATAATAATACTTGCATTTGATATAATGCCTTATCACATTGTTGAGAAGTCTCAAAGCTCTTCACAGAATGTATTGTAAAATGAATTGACTGCATATTTTGTGGGTGAAACGCGGCACTCAATTGCGCACAGCGGTGTCCCACAAACAGTCGTGGATTGAGTGATCACATTTTTTTAAAGGAGTTATTACCCCTGGAAAGCGATCCACCACTTGACTAATAACCAGGTTCCTAGTTACTGCTGGTAAGCAGAGGCATGTGGAGTAAGGAAAGCTTTTGCCTCACCCGCAAATCGAACCCAGGTCCTCTCGCTTTGCCAGGCGAGTGCTCTAACCAATATGCTGCAAGACTCCGCATATTTACAGGACTCCCGACGTGAAAGGCGCTGCACAAGTATAATTTGTTGTATTGCATGTATTAAGTACCTTGAGATTTTGCAGGGCTCAGCCTCTGCTACCCTCCAAAATATTTGTTTCATATTTACAAATACACGTTATCTCCTGTTTTCTGTGTGATCACCTCCTTTGACATTAGTGTTGTTAGTGCTGCCTCAAAGGAGACGCACAGTTTCTGACAAAATTGGACTCTATCCACTTCTACTGATAATGGTTAATTTAAAACAGGAGTCAGGCTGGATGTGCATTTGTGCACTACTACATCATGAAGTATGCAATCCCAATATCACTAATTTAAGAGTCATGCAGTTACTGATCAGAACTACACAATTTGTCTATTTTAACCTAGTCTTCAACTTGGTCTTATTTTTTATTCTATATTTTACTCCATTTTTATTCAGTTTACATCTGTTTGCATCATCCCCTCCCATCTGAGTGGTTGTTTCCAAGGAGTGCCTATTGAATACTTCCAGGTAAATATGGGTCAGTTAAATTGTTCAGAGTAAGACAGCCAAATCAGGAAATGTAATATGCTTTTTACACCATAGAAGGTAGAAATTGAATGAAGCATTTAGAGTAAAGATGCTTAATTTGCAATTAGTTAAAAATTCAGTTCCTATTTGTAGTTTGCAATACAAATAACCATTTGCACTTCTTACATGAGACAAGATTCAGTTAACTCTAAACATGTTCTTTTTCAGGTTGTATCGAATGGATGCCTGGATTTTTAAATATATTCCTTTACAATGATTCTTCATCTGAAAACTGATAGGCTCATCAGCCCACATAATTCCTTAAAGGCCTGTAATCTCATTGAGTCTCTGCAGATCTGCTGTTTCTTTGTGCCTCCTTCAGCTGCATAGATACCATCTGCTCTATACACCAGCATTTTCTCTCATCTTACCTCCAGGAATATCATCAAAGGATATAAAAATATTGGCAGAACCTAAATAAATATAATTTTAGAAACAGTAAAGGTATTAAGGGATATGAATATGGATAAAAAGGTAATTAAAATATACAGAGCTGCCACAATATACTAAAATGGTGTTACTATATTATTATAATGAGTAATAGAGTTTAAGTGGATAGCTGAGCAAACATTTTGCTGATTTCTTTTTATGCATTAAATTCCTCCTGTAGATTTTGCATCCAGCCAATGTAATTTATATTCATGTTACAATTTAATTATCTTTTTTTTACACATAAACGTAAATTTGATCAATAATAAAAAAGCTGAAAAACTAAAAGGTTCCAGTTATAAAGCGCAAATATAATGTAGATATGGTAGTCAGGGAATAACTGCACTTTCACCCAGAATGCACTGAATGTGAGAAAGACAAGCAAAGACCTCCCCATCTTCTTCACTGCAATGGTACATCCTTAGTTGCTGCACAACAGGGGGATGTGGTGATGGTTTGTGAACAAACCCAGGAAATGTATAAAAGAAGTGGCAGTAATTTAGCACTCACAGCAGGATCCCTCAGGCCAAGTAACTGATAATAATAATCCTTGCATTTTATATTAACGCCTTTCACATTGGAAGGATGTCTCAAAGCACTTCACAGGATGTACTGTCAAGTGTAGTGACTGCATTTTGTAGGTGTAATTATGTTTGCAGAAACAAAACAAATAACCTGAGAATAAACACAAGGCAGGGGTAGGGCCTTACAATCAGTTGTCTCCTGCTTTGCGGTCTGCAACTGAAGGATCAGGAATCCTTACCTCCTTTACCTTCTCCATTTCATTCTGTAAAGCCTGTTTGGAGATTTCTGCCTCTATCAGCTGCTGGCGGAGAGTCTCATTCTCTTCCTCGGTTTTGGTGCGTTTCTCTTCCACGTTTTCCAATTCGTGGTGCAGTCTGACCGACACGTCTTTGGCGACCTGGAATCGTGACCACAGCAAATATAATAGCTAAAGGAAGGGACGTGTGTTGCATGATATCAAAGACTGCGTGGGTGAATGGGGGGAACACACAGTGCTGCAAAGATTCCTGGTGAAAACCTGCAGAGACTAGACTTTTGCAGAAGTAACTGTGCACAACCAATTAAAGATTGACCCACCTTAAGATCTTGTTCCAGACTTCTTAAGAGCTCCCCGTCCATTTCCCCGGTCTGCGCGAATCTCATGCGCTTTCTCTCGGTCTTTCGCAGTCGGTATTGCAGGATCCGGCAGTTCTTGTTGGCCCGCTCCAGCTCCCTCCTGAGGTCCTGGAGCTGGCAGGCGTCTTCCTCGTAGAAACTGTCTCTCATTTCGTCCATTTCCGTCCTTATCTCCTCGATCTCGCTCTGACAGGGGGGAAAAAAACAAAAGGGGGAGATTTTCATATCTAATATTTAAACCCACAGCAACATCAAAGCCAAGGTTTAAGGGAAATAATGCGAGAGATGTGTATATATATATTGCAGCTTTAGCAGTGTAACATCTGCTGCCCTATGTGCAATATTGCAGTAAGGCCCAGTGAACCCCCTTTACAGCTTAATACCAATAATTCAAATTATTTTTGTGCAGTCATTTTTATTGCATCGCAAACAATTGTTGCCCCCCACACCCCCCACACCCCCCACCAGATCCAGATCCAGATCTCGCCTACAGTCACCGAGGGCTCCCGGACACACACGTACCTTGAGGGTCAGGTTCTCGGAGCGCAGTTTGTCGATCTCCCTCTGCAGGGTTTGTTCCTGCTCTGTCATTGCCGGCTCCATGTTGGATTCATTCGACGCCATCGGAGGTTCGGGCTCGGGCTCTGCCGTCGCTGCTGCTGCTGCTGCTGATGGTGCCGATGGTGCCGGTGGTGCTGATGGTGGTGCCGGTGGTGGTGGTGATGGTGGTGGTGGTGCGGCTGCGTTTTTCGTGTGCATTATAGCACCATTCGCTCGCGACTCGCGGCTCAGCTGCACCGAGGGGGGTGCGACCGGTCCCTGTCCGCCCCACAGAAAGCCACCGCGATCTGAACCTTGGGGACGTGTCTCCCCGTCTGCGCCCTCCTCCTCCCCCTCCTCCTCCTCCCCGTCCTCCTCCTCCTCCCCCTCTCCTCCTCCTCCTCCTCCTGTCTGATGGCGCCTTTGTGTATCTCGCGGCCCTTTTGACGCGCAGTCCGTCTGCTCGGGGGGAGGACCACCTCTCGCAGAGACCGGAGCGGCCTCGCCCACCGCTCTCCTGGCGTCAGTGGAGGAGGCGGCGGCGGAGGCGGCGGCGGCGGTGAGGAGGTCCTTCTTGTATTCCTTTTCAGCACCGGCGGTGCGGACAGCAGCCCCCGCCGGGGGCGCTCTGGCTCGCTCTCTGTCTCTCGGGCCGGGGATCCTGTGGGGGTGGGGGTGCGGGTGCGGGTGGCCCGGCTTCAGGGCATTGCATCTGGCGGCCAAGGAGGTCCTGGTGGCGGGTCTCGGGTGGGGGTGGCTCTCCCGGAACCTGGCCGGCGAGGAGGGGCGCTGCTGCTTCCGATGGCGGGGAGGGGGGGGCGGGCGGGTTTCATCAGCCGCGCCACCCGCGGGGGGGTTCATGGCGCTCCGGGGCAGCGGAGGGCAATCGCTCGCCGGGGGGGCGGGTTCCGTGCGGGTCGGCGCTCCGGCCCTCAATTTACAACAAAATAGCCCCTCTTCCCCTGAAATTGCAACAACAACAACAACAACAACGAGAAACACAGAGGCTTAGCATTGCATCAGTCGTTTTCAGTTTCAAGGCTCTCGGGTGGTGGATAGATTTTGTTTTAGGTAAAGGGTTTGTGGGGGTAAGGGATAGGCATTGAGTGGAGAGGCAGATCAGCTATGATCTGATAGAATGGCAGAACAGGCTCAAGGGGCTGAATGGCCTACTCCTGTTTCTGTCTTTCCTCTCAATATCATTGCATATCTGGAACACGGGTTGGAAGGAAACATGTTGCGGGAGGGGATCAGATCAGGGACTTCACTCCCATCAGGTCCCATCCGTTCAGTGGGTGGACGGTGGAGTGGGGGTGAGCAGTGTGTGAATCTTTGCTCCGTTAAGGCAGTTGATTGTGTTTGTTGTTTAAATTGCCCTTTTTGAAACAACAAAAAAAGAGATTATCTGCGACATAATGCAGAATGTCAGGAATCCTCTGCCTCGCCAATGTGGAGGATTATAAATGACGTGGTTTCTCACCTCGTTCCTGTCTTTGGTGTCTCTGTGCCTCACTGAAGGCATAAATCCACTGAGAAATAAACACAATGCAATCCAGTTAAACACCAGTCTGGCATTGTCACCACATGTCATTCTGACTCAGTAGCACTGTCACCTATGTGTCAGAAGATTGTTGAATTAAGCTGCAACTATGTTGGAATTGGACCTCATACTGTACACTAAACTGACCACATCGGTGTAGTACAGAGGATGCTGCATTGTTGCAAGTGCAGTTTTTAAGATGAAACGTTAATCTTGTTCTCTTCTTGAGGTTTGTATACCTAAGATCCCATGGATATTTGAATAGAGAAGGCAGCTTTTCCTGATGTCCTGACCAACAATCCTCCAGATTAATTCACATCCACCTCATGGCTGTTTGTGGGACGCTGCTGGGTGCAAATGGCTACCAGATCACACTTCACACCTCTTCTTTGCAGTTACTCTCTTATATGCATTTTAGAAATTATGTCCTCAAACCATTCATTCCTTTAAATGTGTATGTGTTTTTTTATTTTCAAAGGATGGTGATTGGACCTCAAAATGGTGTGCAACAGATAGTGACAGTCGACAGGTTCATACTCATGACTCCCAACACTGGACTTTCCAAATCTTAGCCATGTTGTTATGGGAACTCAGAGTGCGGGGGAGAGATGTTTACCATGAGAAGAGGGAGGAAATCAGAGGAAGAGTTCTCCTGGTCCTGTTTTCCACACTTTACAGCAGTTAATCATAGTGTGGCACAGACATTTGTCTTGGACAAGCTATCTGGGAGTGATATGTGGAATGTAAAGAAAACAGGTGGGGGGGACAGATACCTTACTGAAATAATTTTATGAAGATTAAATCATAAAGGATTATTTGTGAACTTGTAAAAATCAGTTGTTACACTGTGAATGCGACTCAAAATAATTAATATCATAGACATGTTTCACTATATATCTTAATGCATGCATATATATATATATATGTATCACTTCTACATTGGAATGACTAAACCTTTTGTAGCTGGTAACAATAATCATCTTACCCTAAAATAAAATAATATCAGTTTGTTTCAGCAATAAAAAAAACACAACACAGTGAGGGTTTTCATACACATTGTGCAGTCATTAGGTCATATATTTATTCTATTTAAATGATTAAATGTAATGTTAAAAACCTTTTAACTTTCTTCCAGGAGAATTCATTGAAATGGCCACCTCTTGGATCATCTATTGAGGGTAGTGTATCTATAATAATAATAATAATCCTTGCATTTGATATAGCGCTTTTCATGTCTTCTAGACGTCTCAAAGTGCTTCACAGAATAGACTGTAAAGTGAATTGACTGTATTTTTGTGAGCGAAATTACTATAGAGTGCTAGTGCCCTTGAACACACAGGATCAGAGCAGTGATTCCCCAATTCAACACATGCATTTGTGGGAGGTTCAGAGGTGACACCAGAGGATTTCCCATAGTCAGAGACAGAGAGAAAAGGATTAACCGGAGGCACACTTACACAATTGTATTGTCTGATTTCAGAGCAGCATTGGCAAAGATCTGAAAACAGGTTTTTGCCCTTTTGATCAGGGAAATGTGTGTAACATGTACACAAATTAAAGAGGCCCTACAAAAGGAAACTGTGTAAAACAAATAAAGCTTTGAATACACATTTGTACAAAAATAAACTTGGATTATATTTAAATTAACATTAAACTGATTTTGCCTATGTACAAAAATGCTTGATTCATGTGATCTTTCGCCTACAAAATATAATCATTACACTTTACTGTGAAGTGCTTTGAGATGTCCTCCTGATATTGAAAGGTGCTATGTCAAATGTAAGTTTATTTTTCATTTTTTAAAAGGCACAATCCCAGTAGTTAGGGCAAGAAAAAAATTGATCCGGAAGGCCAAACCCACATACTGTAATATCCTGTTGAAATGTGCCATTATGGAACATACAAGGTTAAAATTGGGTTTAGAAACAACTTCAGGCATGAATTCATTGCACAGATGTAGTTGCATTAAGGCTGGAATTGAGTGGATAGTGTCCTTTCTGTTGTCGTGGGGTGATATAAATTGAGAGATCCCGGTTTTCCAGGGCAGCCCCGATTAATAGAGCCTCAACCAAAGGCGATCATATTATTTTAAAATGTATTGTCCTCAAAACTGCAGGAAGTTCCCAGGCACCTTCCAAGAACCCATTGGAGTGATATTACCTAACATTTAAAAAATGGGGCCATCCAGCATTTCTTTATACATATGTACTTTCTTTTAATATGACATTTTACAACGTAAGCATTTAAATATCCTCCTTTAACGAGGAGATCAGTTGCTTTTTTTACTTTTGATGGGAAATCAAAACGGGATTCCTTATACCCAGAAAGTAGCTTATATTGCAGTCAGGTCAATTAAAGCTGCAATGTTGCAGGAGTATAGGTTACAATATAACTTATTAATGTAGTGAAGGTACACGCATGAGTTTTGCAGTAAAGATCCGAATGAATACAGTACTATTAACAAAGCAATCTCGTTCGGCTTTTTAATGGAAGAAAACACTATTGAAGTCACTGTATCAATTTATATCTTAACTGCAGTCATGCTTTTTTTCTCTACCATGTTATCAATGGATGGGGAGTAGGTGTGCTTTGCAATGTCAATGCCTTAGACCACATGTAGTATAGCAATGCTGTGGTGAAGGATGATGTTTGGTCCTTCTACAGTGGTTTTCTCAACGCTCTTGTTGGAAAATGTGCGAATGTGATCACCTTGTCTCACAAACTTTCAAAAACAAAAGCAGGAGACTCAAGAGGAAAACATTTCGCTTGTGGTGGAGCATAATCCTTTTTTAAAAAAAACCTTGAATAAAGTTAATATTTTAATTTCTATTGCCATTGCAACTGTACGAAGGAAAGAAGTCACATGGAAATTTGCCCTCGGTTTCCCCCTGGTTTCCCGGAGTGGCAGAAAAGGATCTCCCTTTTCCCCTGTCCTCTTGTCACACAGGGGGACCCAGGCTGCGGGTTAAAGCATCTGCACAAAGTGCTGTGAGAGGCAATTCAGCACCACCAGAAAGGAGCCAGTGAACAGAGACAGGGCAAAGGCAATAACAGGAGGCAAACAACACAGCAAAAACAAACACCAAAGAAGTCAGCACAGGGAGGGGGTGGGGGGAGGGGGGGGGGGGGGGCAGTCGTGTCTTCAATGAACATCCATTGGAAGAGTCAAAGAGGATGGGGCTGTGTGTGTGTGTGGTGTGTGTGTGTGTGTGTGTGGTGTGGTGTGTGTGTGTGTGTGTGGTGTGTGTGTGTGTGGTGTGTGTGGTGTGTGTGTGTGTGTGGTGTGTGTGTGTGTGTGTGGTGTGTGGTGTGTGTGTGTGTGTGTGTGTGTGTGTGGTGTATGTGGTGTGTGTGTGTGGTGTGTGTGGTGTGTGTGTGTGTGTGTGTGTGTGTGGTGTGTGGTGTATGTGGTGTGTGTGTGTGTGGTGTGTGTGTGTGTGTGTCTGACAAAGGCTGGAGATGCTCCCCGAGCTGCTGCATCGCTTGCAGTGACTGGGTTGCCGGGGTGGCCAGCGCAAGGCCTGGGGTTACAAGGGACTGACTCACCCGGTTTCGGTCGGTGCTGTTTGGAGCAGCTGCCACGGCCACTGCTGCTTCTGGCTTCTCCCTCCCCTGCCCT